TTCATCACCCTGAGTTCTCCATGTTCCGCTTCCTGTAGCACGTTCAACTCTGGAACCTTTCTCCGATTTCTTTCTAAGCTTTGTGAAAAAGTAAAGAGTAGTCTCTCTCGTCGCTTTAAAGAAATTCTTCCACGCATCAGTTTCATCGTAGAGATCGCAGTCAATCATAGCAGATGATGAAGAGAGTGGGAAGCCATGAGTTTTGTTGTAAAGATAATGAAGAATGATTTCTTCATCAGTTGGATCAAAACGATAACACAGTGGAATCTCCATTATTGTTAAACTAAAAGATAGAGAAAGGGAGAGAGATTTATATATAGAGGGAGTAGCGTGAATAGTAAGTAATCCTATTTCTGTTTTATCGCCTGAGTTTCCTTATTTCTATCAAATTAATGTAGTAAAACAATTTTAATTACCTAGGGCTCTTATTAGATAATTAACTAATACGGACCTGTGTGTATCCTCTTAAGTTGAATTTTAACTGACCGTTCTGCCTTATGTCCTTCGGGTTCGGGGAGGCCGAATACAAGCACATCAATGTTATTCATTTGATTCCTATATCGCAAGTAAAAAAATTTCACTAGGTGTGATGGTTTTTTTTTTAAATTTTCACTAGTTAATTGGTAAACAATAGTGAAGCTGACAAAAATCTTGGATCTGTCACTTTTAGAGACATAAAATATAGTGTTAAATATTATACTAGAAAATTGGTTATTTTCTGTTTCCTTATGTTTTGGTTTTATTTTGTTAACTAATTGATTACTTCAAGTCATTGATATATAGATTTAATTTGACAAGCAAACAAGTTTAGTTTTCATTAGAAATTATGAAATAAAATACTTGATTATTCTCTTGTTTATGTATAGAAAGTATCAATAAAACAATCTTATTAATCACGAACTGAGTACACTGTTGGGTTACTGCTTCAATGGTGATTCCATTGCATTGCTACATTACTGACAGCACCATGCTGATGTTTTGGAGTCTTCCCTAATGTTTTGATCACACCTCCCATTCACTCAGTCGGCCATCTTAAACACTAAGAATCGAATTATAAGAAACCCTAATCTTTCCATGCATTGATCCATCGTAAATAGCTAGTCATCTGCCATGAGTACCGCCTCCAGTTCTTTAGCAAAAGTTGAGTTTGATTGATCAGATGGCACCGCAGAAGTATTATTATTAGCCAAGAACTTTCTGCCATTGGTATTCTTCTTCGGCTCTTCCTTTGTTCCCGTCTTCTTGATTCGGCAGAGCACGTAGAGATCGAAAGGATTAATATTAGCAGGAACTAAACTTTCATGGAGACGATACTCGTGCATCACCCATTTACGCTTTTCTTCATTTTTCTCTTTCGGCACAAACGTGAAGCTCTTCTTGTAGCCTACGTGCTGTTTCTTCTCACCGCCATCAACACTCATATACACGTCCTTATCATGTTGCGATCTCCATGTTCCGGATTCCGTAACTCTCCCAACTTTCGAACGTCCAATCTTCTTATCAAGCTTGGTAAAAACATAAAGCCTGTCCTCTCTTCTCTCTTCCAAAAGCTTCTTCCAAACATGAGATTCATGGTAAACATCACAGTCAATCACAGCGTTGGAAGGAAGCTGAAGACCATAGACTTTGTGGTAGAGATAAAAGATTATCTCCTCGTCGGTGGGATCGAACCTAAAACACAATGGCAAGCAATCCATTGGTTTCCGTATTACTGAAAAATATGAGTAGAGAAATAATTTATAGAGTTGGTTTCCTTATTACTGTAGGTTTTGGATTCTATTCAAATTAAAATCTATTTCGTTTCCTAATCAGAAAGGGTAATCTTTATTTAAGATATTTGTTTCCTAATTAAAATAGGGTAATATTTTTATTTTAAAATTCTTGTAATTAAAATATGTGTTTAAAGAAAATAATTAAAAATACTTCTTCAAGTTGGCGGAATAAAACCTGCAATTTATAAGGTTTAATTAATTTCTAGTGTCACATATAAGTGTATTAGGGAAGTCTCTCCATTTGATAATATTCTTTTGGACATGAAACTCCTAACCTGCAATAAGTGGTATCATAATAGTATGAGAAATCAAATTAGATTGATTTAAATCACTGTGAATCCCATTTATAAAGAATAATTTCAAACTAATTAGTGTTGATTACGATTAAATTAGCAATAAGCATGTCAAATTAAGCAAATGTATTAATTTACATTCAACTCATTATAGTCTAGTGTCGATTTTTTTTTTCTTTTTTTTTTAATGATTGGAATATTTGAGCCAACTTACGTGTATCTCAAATATTCTTTTGGGACTCTAAAACTACAAGTCGGGTATGAGTTCTAATGATCACTCATATTAGCATTTGTGGGAACTCGAACTCGAGAGATTATGTTAAATCTTTCTCTTACTATTTTACCTTCTAAGAGACTTAAACTTGGAAGATCATGTTAGATCCTTCTTTTTGACACGTGACATTAGTAAGAGAAAGTTAGTGAGAAGTATTAGTGAGAAGTGTTAGTGATTGTAGTGTTACTCGATCTGAAATATCAAAGTACCCATGAATCCCACATTGAAAGCGAAACTACTCCCAGCCTGTGATAATATTAAACCTAAGTTTCCTTATTTAATTATATTATATGATATTATGCTTAATAAATATATTTTACATACACCGTTATTATAAATTCTTTTATTGACTTTCTCATTCTATGCTTATTTTGATAATTAAAAATTTATACTTTCTTTAAATCCCTTCCAAGTTATTGTAAACTCCTTCATTAATTAAAAAAGAAAGAGAAAAGTATTTAATTAAACTTATGACAATTTACATCTATGTAAATTTATGTGGTTTTAGATATTTACCAAAATTCATCTAAACCTTCTTTAAAATTTATAAATCAATTTTATAAGATAATCACTTCTCAGGACTTATTGTCATGTTCTGATCAATTCCAAGCTATTATAAAGTGTGTTTTATAATTCATAATTTCTTATAAATCATTAGCTGTTGATCTCAAGCAGAAGCAGTAGGATTTCCAAAGTTTAAATATTTACTATAAGCATACAAAAATTTGCATGTAAACCTTCTTTAAGATTTGTTGGAAAGTGTTATGCACAAATATGACATATGTAATATTTAATTTATCTAATAAACAATTTTACAATATGTGTCATTCCTAATCAATATCAAAATAGGGTAATATTTTATAGTAAAAAGATAAAACAATTATAATTAAAAACAGTCTATTTGATTAATATAAACAATATAAAAAATTTTTTCAACATAAAATCGATCGCGATGGGACTCGAACCCACAATCTCCCGCTCCGGAGGCGAGCGCCTTATCCATTAGGCCACGCGATCCCACGCTATAAGCTTCTCAAAAAACTATTATTACCCAAATTATCGTTTTTCTGATTATTCTACATAAAGTTTTCTATATTTCATATGAAATATATATTTATTAACTTGAATACAAATAAAAGTATCAAACCTACCCTTAATATGGGGTATATATAAAATATAATACGTTTTAAACTTGTGGGTGCGTTTTATATTTATTTATCTCTCAAGGGTTGGATACATAACCCCTTGATTAACAATTCTTAAATAAGATTATTAAGAATTTGGTATCATTTTTCAGCCAATTTGTTTTCCAATGACACATGCATATTGAAAGATCCACTGTAAACAATGAAGTATGAACCATTTCCATAGAGATACAGAACTCTGCTTTCTTTCAAGAAAATATAAGCTCACATCACATGTTACTTATTTCTAATCAACAATGTAACTCAAAACACTCAGAAGATGTATTCTTTTTGAGGATTCAACACCAATGTTTCTGACCCTGGGGTTCAGATTTTCATATTTAACACCATAAAAAAAAAAAAAAAAAAAAAAAAATGACAAACTTTTAACATTTTAGATATCGCCTTTTCTGCCGCAATCTGTGTATTTGATTAGGCTTCAGCTGTCAATTTTGCTGCCAAGCTATTGATGGTATTGCATTACCATTTTATGAAGATGCGTCGACAGGTGTGTCTGGATGACCTCCCCATTCAGTCCATGATCCATCATAGACGGCGACATCAGGCTTCCCGAGTCTATGCAAACCCTGCAAAACAAGAGCACAACGATTAAGTTACCATCTGGACTGGTAATGTAATGCAATGTAAATGTTCTACCAGCTGTGCTTTTCTAGTTTGTGAAAAAATAACTTTGCAGTTTAGTGGGTGTAACTTCCTAGAGAAAGGAAGTTGGAAGAATACCAATGCAAGGACACAAGCTGTTACGCCAGTGCCACATGAAGTTACAACAGGTTTATCCAGTGAAATGCCTGCAGAAAAAATACACAATTAGATAGCTGAATATATTGTTAACTGTAAGTTAGTTAACTTAGTAACTTACTACTCGACTAAAATGCTTAAGCTTATAGATTGGGCTAAACAAAAAGAACTACGCGAGCATGTAATAAAGGAGGGGGAAAAAAGAAAAATAAAAAGTCCAAACCTTCTTGCTCAAATCGTTTCTTAAGCTCATCTGCTGGTAAGAGTGTCTGAGAAGCATCCAACATCTGCAAAGAAAACAAAGATGTAGATGAACAAAGTACCCATATTTGCAAAATTTAACAGTTTTAGGGTCATACTTTCAGAAAGATATCGAGATAATAGAAGACCAGCAGACACCTTGTAACTCAAAAATAAGCCAGTACCACATATTAACAATTTATCAAGGTACAAATAATCACTTATTAACTCAAGTTCTGCGCTTGTGCTTTTCATGACGTCAACAAACATAAATGAACAAGTATCATCTGAACTTTTGATCGGTTTTTACCTGGGGAAAAGGAATGCACTTGCTTCCAGGGACATGACCACTTCTTATTCCCTTACGAGGTTCTGGTGCGGCACCATCAAACCTGCATGATTAACAAATCTATATCAGATAAAAAAAAAAAACAACCCATATGTATGTATAAATAAGATTAATTAACTACATGAATAGTTATAAGTTTATAAACTAAAATCTGAATGTATATAGGATGCATGGCACGATATATATCATGTTCATCCCTTTCATACAATAAGCTCATCAATATTCATACTAATTTGCACATTATAATTTTGTGAGCTCATTTCGTACTAAGTCTTGCCTTGCTAATTGATTACTCAAGTCATTGATATATAGATTGAATTTAAAATATAAATATGACCAAAGATTTATTTTTCATTAGAAATTCTCAATAAAATACTTATAATTCTCTCTTGTTCAGTACGAAAGTACTATGAAACAATCTCATTAACTACGAACTGAGTACACTGTTAGGTTGCAGTTCAGCTGTGCATAAATGGTGATTGATTCCATTGCATTGCTCATTACCAACAGCACCATGCTGATGAGTCAAGATGTGCTGGAGTCTTCCATAATGTTTGCTCACAGCTCCCACACGCAGTCGTCCTCCATCGTAACCCCACATTATTAACAATATACATCTGCTTCTGCTACTGCTCTATCATCTCTTCGGAATTCTGAAACATTTTCTCACCATCCAAACAATTCTTACTATTAACACAATTACCACCATTCGCCTCATATATGTGGCACTCTTGCACGGTTTCATTCTGATTATTACTTCCGGCCATATCTACTTCTTCCAATGTAACCCCTTGGTTGGAATCAATAATATAACCTTTCTTCTATTTGTAATCCTCCATACCGCGGTGCTGATCATGAGATGTGTAGAACTCCTGGGTACTGATTTGATTTTCCAACCCCAATATGCTGCATCTAAGTCTTCCGATATTCTGCCTGCCTTATCGTCTCCTCCAAATCATTCATTATAAACCCTAACTACTGTTATCAATATAATCACTTTCTTTTCCTTCTAATGCTTCCATCATCCCACTTCTTGAAGCCCATCTGGAACCTTTAGTTCACCACTCATAGGATTCTCACTACAAACATTTAATTACCACCAAAATCATATGGGTAGCAGTAGCGCTCTGGTTTTGATTACCCCAAAAATCATGTTTTCTACTTCTGGTGCCCATATTCTCCTTTGGAACCCAAACTATCAGCTCACCCCCCACGAATTACCACTATATTATTATTTCTCATTGTTTCTTCTTCGATGATTTTCTTCTTGATTCGGCAGACAACCAAATCACTCTTCTTGTTCCTCAATAGGCTTTCATGAAGCCGATATTCCGTCATCACCCATTTTCCCTTTTCTTCAGTCTTCTTGGGGATAAACGTAAGACTCCGTTTGTATCCAATGTGTTGTCTTCTGTCACCACCATTGTACAAATGTTCATCACCCTGAGTTCTCCATGTTCACTCCTGTAGCACGTTCAACTCTGGAACCTTTCTCCGATCTCTTTCTAAGCTTTGTGAAAAAGTAAAGAGTAGTCTCTCTCGTCGCTTTAAAAGAAATTCTTCCAGGCATCAGTTTCATCGTAGAGATCGCACTCAATGATAGCAGATGATGAAGAGAGTGGGAAGCCATGAGTTTTGTTATAGAGATAATGAAGAATGATTTCTTCATCAGTTGGATCAAAACGATAACACAGTGGAATCTCCATGATTAGTAACCTAAAAGATAGAAGGCAGTAAAAAGGGAGAGAGATTTATATATAGAGGCGGTAGCGTGAATAGCAAGTAATCCTACTATATCTTTGTTTCCTTAAATATTTAGGTTTTATCGCATGAGTTTCCTTATTTCTATCAAATTATAGTAGTAAAACAATTTTAATCACCTAGGGCTCTTATTAGATAATTAACTAATACGGACTGTCTGTAACTAGGTTGAATTTTAGTTCTTTATGCCTTATGTCCTAATTAAAATAGGGTAATATTTTTATTTTAAAATTCTTGTAATTAAAATATGTGTTTAAAGAAAATAATTAAAAATACTTCTTCAAGTTGGCGGAATAAAACCTGCAATTTATAAGGTTTAATTAATTTCTAGTGTCACATATAAGTGTATTAGGGAAGTCTCTCCATTGATAATATTCTTTTGGACATGAAACTCCTAACCTGCAATAAGTGGTATCATAATAGTGAGAAATCAAATTAGATTGATTTAAATCACTGTGAATCCCATTTATAAAGATAATTTCAAACTAATTAGTGTTGATTACGATTAAATTAGCAATAAGCATGTCAAATTAAGCAAATGTATTAATTTACATTCAACTCATTATAGTCTAGTGTCGATTTTTTTTTTCTTTTTTTTAATGATTGGAATATTGAGCCAACTTACGTGTATCTCAAATATTCTTTGGGACTCAAAACTACGTCGGGTATGAGTTTCTAATGATCACTCATTAGCATTGTGGGAACTCGAACTCGAGAGATTATGTTAAATCTTTCTCTACTATTTTACCTTCTAAGAGACTTAAACTTGGAAGATCATGTTCGATCCTTCTTTCTAAAAAAAAAAAAAAAAAAATCAGCTCTTGAGAAGCTTATTATCACTTAGGTAGATCTTTCAAGATGGTATACTTCCTCCTTTGCCTAATTTTTTTTTTTTTAATTAAATTTTCCAATTATATTATTTAACTTCTCTTATTCACTCTTTAAATTCGCTTGACCATTGAGCTAAATCCGGTAAAAGCAGTTACTTTCATATTCATCCTCCTACAACTCAGCCTCTCTTTTTCACCAAAAAGTTTTAAGGTTCCAATTATACCCTCTTTCCCAAATTCCATATTATACACCTTTACACTCAACTCAAACTAACAATTATAATGCATTGTTTGGATGGTCTCATATGTGTGCTTTCTGTAAGTTCTGTTTTGATGCCTTGAACGGTTCTAGGCTTGTTGCTTTCAACTTGGGCTATCTTCCAGGAGGCGACAAAACTGTAATTACTACGGCTGAAACAACACTGTTGGCACTGGAGGCTGCAGAGAGAATCGTAGTACGTGGGGGTCTTATTAGCATAGTGGTCTATGTGGGCCATCCTGGTGGAAGGTAAAGATTGAACTTAATCATTTTGCTTTGTTTCAACTGGAAACGAGTTTAAAACAGTTTATGAAATTCATATGAACTGAAATTACACATGTTGCAGTTGATTAATTACTAATGTCTATAGTTACTGAGACTTGTATGCAGCCCATAGAATCATAAACTTAATTACAGAATGTGGGTGGGGATAGGGGATCCTTTCTTTGTCAATAGCAAATTTGAATCCAAGATGACCTCCAATATAAGCTTCGGCCACTGCTTTAACAGCAGTGATGATAGTCATTTGTGTTATTCATACAATTTTTGTTTGTTAGAACTATTAAAGACTTCTATGGTCAGAATAAGGTTTCGTTTTAGCAGCTTGTTTCTCTACTCATGCTATGAGATTCGTTATGGTAAGGCTCATTGTAGCCTCGTGACTAGGTGTATTTTTGTTCTTCATATCGCCAAGGTAAAATTATGAAGTGTGAAAAAAAAAAGGGGGAAAAAAGAAAAAGTAGTAATTAAGGACTTCTGTGTTTCCACTCTTGTTTTGAGTTTTAGCTTAACCCTTCTGCCTTATGTTCTTCAGGAAGGAATTGGAAACCGTTGAAGCATTTGCTGGTAGATTGTCAGTTGACAATTGGATCTGCTGCAAGTTTCAGATGTTAAACCGACCTTTAGCTCCTCTACTTGTTTTCTTATTCAAGAGATGAAACCACAGAAATTTCCCAGTTATAATAGTCGTTGTACATAATAACTTTGAATCAATCGTATAATGGGACCCTAAAAACACCTTCATGGATTCCTTTTGTTTTGTCAAAATTATTAGTCTGAGATCACTTTTTATTTATTGAAGAGTTTCAGAAATCAGTTGGAATGGTAATGCTTCTTGAGCTCCTATTATTCATTTCATGTCATTTATGTTAATTTCCAGCCATTTATTTTGGCACACAAGATGGAACAAACAGGATCCAGAAAGAGGATTAACTCAAAATTAAAATAAGTGATGGATTCCAGAGCGAACAGACCAATCCACATATAAGAAGTTAAGAGCAACCTGTGGAAATATCTTTGCTGGAATGCTCGTTCAATGCATGCAGCATGCCAGCATATCAACATACAAATTGTTTATCTGTTCCACTATAGCCTTTTTCAGAATGTCCATATATTCTAGCTTTCAATAAACTTCATAAATTCTGCAAAGCGCTGTTGTTTTTTAATTCAATGGTTAATAGGTTCATAA